GGTGGATGGTTAATGTTCTAATGGAATTTCGTCCTGAAAACGTTGGACAGGGTTGCGGATTCGGGTCGATCTTCTCAGGGCGGTATTTTCGACCTCTGCGCCGCTTTGTGGAGTCACTGGCTCCTCTGCTCCTAAGTTAGTACGGGCCGGGGTAGAAGGAGGAGGGGTAACACCTCGACCGGTGACGTTGTGCTCTATGCAGGCCATAGATGTTCAGTCCTCGGGATGTCAGGATGCCTATCAAGGGTTGCTGGCAGTCCGAACTTTCCGAATTCTTCACTTACTGTGTCCATTCGACTGCGAACTTGGTCCAAATGTCGACGCACAATTCTCCCATCTGCTAACTCTAATTCTACTATTTGTCCCTCGCTTGTTCGAACTACCACAGGACACCAGTTCGTTTCGTGTTCTAGTCGCGTGTAGACACTTTCGTTAGGCGCGACGACTCGTGGTAGGGTGTTCACATCATATCGTGCTTTCATCTTCGTCTGTTTTTCAATGACTATCATGCGTTGATGGATTAAGCAGGTCAATTCTTGTGCGCGACTGCCGTTTGAACATCAATTCTGCAGGCGAAGCACCGGTTGAGACGTTCGGTGTTATGCGATAGCTGAACAAAAAGCGTGACAATACAAGCGAAGATGCGAGTTCCAGGAACTAGATGATCAGAAGAAGAAGCGATCGATGGAACAAGAGCTTTATTCGCCTGACGTTTCGGATTCCCGCTCGAACACATCATCAGAGACAGCGGCAGAGCAGGGCGACTCGTGCACAGGAAGTTGCAGTATTTATGGGATGCAGTCGCTATGCTACCGCATACCTATAGCAATTAACCGCGCTCCCCGTCATCAAGGATTGTTGCCCGCTGGTGCGCTAATTGCTTGATGGCCGGCATGCAAGTTGTTAATTTCCGAAATGTCATCACCCGTGTTGGATGCTGGCGTGATGATGGCCCGTCCATCTGGCCCACCGGCTTGCGCGCCCCCGAGTGGTCAATTACTTTGGTCTCAACAGCGTCTTCCCGGACATACAATTTACGATTGACGAGGAATAAAATAACCAGCTGGCATTCCTTGATGTCCTCGTCTGTCGCAAAAATTGTGGTGGCCTTAAGACCGAAGTGTTCAGAGAAGCGACGAACACGACGCAAATACTGAACTTCAACAATAACCACCCAATCAGCCACAAACGCAGTTGCGTAAGAACGCTATTTGGCGTGTTGAGACGCACTGCAGTGAACCGGAAGACAAGGTTGCCGAATCCCAATATCTTCAACGGGTTTTCAGAGAAGATGGTTACCCGCGCAACTTCGTCAAACAGTGCCTGCGCAAACGAGACGAGCGACAAAAGCGTGCCGACCCCAAATTCTGGCGAGCGATCCCGTACATCAAGAACGTCTCCGAGGCCGTTAGCCGCCTTCTGGCACCACTTTGGGTTGATGGCCGGGCAGTCATCACGCCAGCATCCAACACGGGTGATGGCATTTCGGAAATTAACAACTTGCATGCCGGCCATCAAGCAATTAGCGCACCAGCGGACAACAACTCACGCTGAAGGGAGAGCGGTTAACTACCATAGATTTTGTGCACGTGCGGTTAGGCCTTTCGTCCCTTTTGCGTATGCACAGGCTGACGAAGTTGCGCGGGTAGCCATTGACTTTGAATACCCGTCGGAGTTAATGTAGTTCGGCAATCTTGTCTTCCGGCTCACTGCAGTGCGTTTCGACACGCCGATAGAGCGTCCTTACACAACTGCGTTTGTGGGTGATTGGGTGGTTACTGTTGAAATTCAGTACTTGCATCGTATTTGTCGCTTTCCTGAACACTTTCGTCTTTAGTCCACCACAATCTTTGCGGCATAGGAGGGCATCCAGGAAGGCCAGCTGGTTGTTCTCTTCCTCCTCCATCGTAAATTGAATGTCCGGGAAGACGGCGTTGAGATTTTCTTTGAATGTCATCACCTGCCCCTGTTTGATGACGACGAAAGTATCGTCCACAAACCGGGCCCAGAACTTCGGTCCGTGGAAGACCAGCGACTCTAACCGTTGCAGGACCGCCTCGGCGATGAATCCCGAAATCGGCGAACCTATTGGTGTACCCTTTACCTGTTCGTAGATTGTCCCGTCGAACGTGAAGTACGTCCTGCGACAGATCTTCAGAAGCTGAAGGATTTTGGCGTGTCCAAGACGATTTTCCGTTTCATCGTATTTGCTTTGTAGTAACAGCTCGATTGTCTCGATCGCCAGGTCCTGGGGAATAGAAGTAAAAAGGGATGTAACATCAAAAGGTACCATGACCTCATTTGGATGGAGGCTTACCCCTTTGAGTTTCTCCGGCAATTAACAACTTTCATGTTGGTCATCAAGCCATTAGCGCACCAGCGGGCAACATACCTTGATGAAGGGGAGCGCGGTTAATTGCTATAGGTATGCGGTAGCATAGCGACTGCATCCCATAAATGCTGCAACTTCCTGTGCACGAGTCGCCCTGCTCTGCCACTATCTCTGATGATGTGTTCGAGCGGGAATCCGAAACGTCAGGCGAATAAAGCCCTTGTTCCATCGATCGCTTCCTCTTCTGATCAAGTGCGACAACTTCGTGGCCAAGTCCGCTTGCGTCTGTTTGGCTAGTCCGTGCCTTATTGTCTGGACTGCATGCTCTGCGAGGCCATTAGCCGGAACGTGGTACGGGGCAGTAGTTGTATGCCAAAGTCCACTTTTCTCAATGAATTCTTTGAATTCTGCGCTAGTAAAGGCCAGGTAATGGTCCGAAACGGCCATTTCAGGTAAGTTAAAAATAGAGAGACGGTTCGCAACTTGTTGATTGTAGTCAGTGAAGGACAGGAATTTCCTGTCGGAATCGCACCAATCCATTTAATTTGGGCGTCGATCACCACCAAGACTATATGGCCTTGGAATGGCCCAAAATAATCGACGTGTGCCCTCTTCCACGACGAGTCGGGCGAGGCCCAAGGCTTTAGAGGCACCTTCGGTAAGGTCTTCTGTGTTATTTAGCACACCTGACATGCTTTCATCACATTTTCGATATCTGCATCAATTGTGGGCCACCAAACATTGCCGTGGCGAGAGCTTTCATGCTAACTGTAGTAGGATGAGCATTATTCAGGTCTCTGAGGACGGCCTGTCGGCTTTTTGGTGGCACAACTACACGATTGCCCCATAGTATGCATCCGTCTTGTAGACTCAACCCGTCCTGACAGCTGAAGAATGGTTGAAAATCAGGGGAGGTAGAGGACGGTCAGTCAGATTTCAGGGCTCTTTTTACCCGACTTAAAAGAGTCTCTCTCGATGTCCACTGTCCACTTACGATAGTTCGACCATCGCATCCGACGATGTCCACCGTGTGCCCCACAGCAGATGGTGGGAGCAGGGACGGTGACTTGGATAGGTGTTTAAAGTGCCAGTGGACTTGCGCTGCATCTACCACACTCTCTCCTTCTCCCCCGCCTGAGCCCGGTGTCAAGACAGAGTAAGAAGACCGGAGACGAGGGAGGCCACAGGCGAATGGCTTGGACGGATCCTTACCTTGGCGCTCCACTCGCACCACCTGGCCCTCTAAACAAATGGCCAGGATTTTGACCACCAAAACAATGGGGTGGTAGCATTGATCCCAGTTGTGCGACAACTGCCGACAACAGGGTCTGCCAATGCACTCCGTAAGTGTTGGCATTTGTTATTGCGCACAGATAACGCCTGTCAGAATCCGATGTGGCCCCGTGTTGGTCCAGCGCATCTAGCACGTGGCCCGTTTGAGGGGCACCACTGTCCGCTTACACAGCATCTACCACACGCTCTCCCCCTGACCCACCAGGAATTGAGAGAGGACGCAGTTGACTGGCACGGCGCGAACCCGCACCTAGGCGTACCACCACATCTCTGCTCCACAAAATAATCTGACCAGCATTTTATACTACAGTAAAATTGGGGAGGAGGGAGAGTCGTCATGGACCCCATTAGGTACGGCGTGAACCGACACATGGGGCATATGGGTGCGCATAGGACATTCCTGAACATAACACAACAGTTCGCGAAAGGAAACCTACAGTGGACAGTCGGTTTGTTGGTTGACGCTATTAGTCATCTTTCCACCCGTAGAGATGTTAGCTGATACTTAGGCCTCGAAAATGACACAAATGCGGCATGCTGACAGCAGACCGCAGCTGTCGGTATCATGAACTGTTTTGGATGAATTCGATGCGCAATTTATTGGAATGTTTATTCATTAACTGTGCTGTTAGTATGGTACCATCTTACCCTAAAGTATACTACTAGCTGCCTGTCGGCAGTTAATGAATATTACGCGGTTATCCGCTGTGGCTGATGGACTTCGACTCAAATATTCGTGCATAAAATTCTCGGTCTGTGCCCATTGACCTTGAATAAACTGATCTACTTCAAGTTCGTAGATAATTTCTGAGGAAATTAAAAAGCGACAATTTATAAATTGGAGTATCTACCAGAAAGTAGACAGGCAGTGCTGGGGGACCCACTGGCGAGCCGAACCCCTTGCAGCTGTGTCATGCAGCGGCAGAATATCAGTGAAACACGCGTGTATGGGCTTTTGGCTAGTACCTGTGATGTTAGTGTGGTATCATCTTGCCCCGAAGTATACTACTAATTACGGACATCGTGTGGATCCTAACAAGGCCTTACGAGTGATTTAAGAGGTTTCCTTCATTTCTAGGCGTCAAATGTAACCAATATGGAGAGGAATACTTCTATTCGCAATATATCCACGGAAAACATTATTTTGCCTCAGAGTTCCATAACTAGTATTATCCCAGCTTATTTTAAACTGTCCAATTGCGTCCTAGCTACCTTATGGTACTTCTAAATGAATTTTTTGATATTCGTTGCTCACTTGAGACTGTTATGGCTAGACCTGACGGAATCTCCTCATCATATATCAAATTTCCTAGATGTTGTTGGTAAGTCTTCTATAGATTAAGACAGCGTGGCAGTGCCGGACTAAACGACCTGTTTGTCAACCATTTTTTCTTCCACTTTCCCTTTTCCCCTTCCCTCTGTTAATCTTAAACCTCTCACTGACACCCGTTGATGCTGATTTAGACTGTTTAAACGAAAGCCATATATTTACTACCGATGACTCCAATCCTGCCTCAAACGACGTTCTCCTACCACCACTCTTCTGTGTCTGTAACAACAGTGGAGAAACATAACAAGTTCCATGGATCGGCAACTGCTGGGCTGGATGACGTCTTCCCATTTCTCCTTAAATCTTGTTGTTCTCAAATAGCCTCTGTTTTGACAGACCTTAGTAACCTGTCTTTCATGATTTCCAAGATCTCTGACGCTTGACGGGCAGTAAGAATCGCTCCTCTCCTAAGAAAACTCACTAATTTTAAATGTTTACGTTCAATTTCCTGCTTCCCCACACTTCTGAGGCTCTCTGAAAGAACTGCCCTAGATTCCATCACGTCATTCCCCTTCAAATTCTCAAACCCTTAACAATTGGCATTTGATGTTAGGCTTAGTATCCTGGATGGTATTTGTTCTTGTGATCCACTCAGCTCTAAGAGATCTAGGGTTGCGTGCTTATGCATGTACGTTTTTCGACTACTCCTCTGCCTTTCTTACCATCGCTTTGTTTTTTAGTTTTGAGGTTATTTAACTTTCCTCACTAAATTTTCTCAGTCTGGCAAGCGGAAATCTACTGTCCTTCCCAATAGCCGTGCAGTCCTTCATGGTTCCACTTTATCCCGCACCTAATCTCTTTTCATGCTGATGACATGAAATCGCCAAATGACTGCCTGTATGTTAAGGGTCAGATGTGGTTATGTAGCCGCACCTGAAGTAAACAAACCCCAGCCACCTGTAATACCGGACCGTTGGTAATAGGGGTTTTTGCAGGTGGGGCCGGGGAGTGCATAGGCGACGAGGTCAAGTAGTTGTACGCAGAAGAAAAGCTATTGGGAATGCGCGGTTGTACTTTGAGTGGTTGAGAAATAGTTGCCCTAACCCCTACCTATAACCCCTAGCCCCAGTCCCAGCAGTATTGTGTCCATCAGGTGGGGCTACTTAGCCACATCTTATCATGTTAAGTATGTTGACGATATTTTTGTTGATCACCCTCTCAAAAATAAGATTCATCGCCAATTTTGAAGGATGGGTTGGATCACGTCTCTACATGACCGTTGAGAAATGGTCTCCTACTTAGCCAGCAGATGTAGCGGTCGACGACGTAGAGGTTGGCACACACACATACACGGATAATGAACACCTGTCGTCGATTCGCCGTCCGTAAGAATGCTGAACAGGTTATCACGCCGAGATTCGCATGCCGAGGTCGTCAGAAGGGGTAGCGTATACATAAGAAAACTATTTAAAACAGTAATCGTGTAACAAGGACACAGTGTAATATAAGAAGGGGCGTTATATTAGCTATAACCCCACATGGAGTGGGGAGTGTTCTGTTGTGTCCGTAAGACTACCGGTGGAAAGTGCGCGCTGGGGTGGGGCAACCGCGGGGGATGCGGACTGAGCGAAAGAGAACATGAGACAATCCGAGACAGCAATAACTGCAGAATGGCATTACCGACAAAGACCCTTGTCTTTGTCGGTAATGTCATTCTACCTATATCATGCGCCGCTGTGAGGCTGCTGGTTGGGCTCGAGAGAGAGCATGTAAGGCACAACGGAACGAGTGAGTTCCGTAAGAACAATCGGCGAGCGCCCCCTCCCACGTCAATAACTGTAGATACGTCTGTCAGCAACTCAGAATGGAATGGGGCACCGCCATCCTTCACTCCAGTTAAATAACATGTTCAGGCCGTGGTGTGTTACACAGAAGTTAGTTCAGTGTGTATTTCGACTGCGAGCCTCTCCCATTCTCCAATCCCTAAACTGTCTTTCCAACGACGGATCGCTTTTCGGTACTTTGGTGTTACCCTGTTCTCAATGCTCTCAGCTTCCCTTCATGTTTAGATCCTTTTCAGTACAATTCGTAAACTCGTTTATTAAACTTATAAACTTATATCCTGGTCAAAATGAATGCGGCCGTTTTTGCTGAGAATTTTAAAGGATACCATCAAAATAGAGGCATTTCTTGGAACCTATAGACTTCGCGACGGCTTATCAACTTCAGCCTGTAGTTGCTTAACACAGATAACAAGTGAGAAAGGTAAAAAGGTTTGAACTTCCACTGAGAAAATTAATATAAAACAGCAAGGTCATCGTATACTGCACGTAGACTAATCAATAAAATGGTAACTTAAAAACGCAGCATAGGAAAGAAAACGGGGAGGTTAACACGCCGAGGGATTTCCCAAATCAAGAGGGCGCAGATCTACCAGGGCAAGCTGAGGTTGACCACATGGTCTAACTGTTTGCATAGGTTGGGATTCTCCCGCCGTATGTAGGCTGCCTCCAGGTAGCGCAGTAACCGAGTTGTTCGTGCTCGAACTAATACTCGAAAACATTTTTTGGGGTCAACCGAGTGACCGCTATCAAGGAGGTGCTTTGTAATAGAAGACCGTGGAATTTTATTCTCCTGCTTTAGAAGCGATTTAGGCAGGTGCTCAACTGACCTGGCTGTCAATTGCCTTTGCGTTCGCCCAATGTACTTGTATCCACAAGTGCAGGTGAGTTCGTAAACACAATTTGACGTAGCGTGCAATGGCAAGGCATCCTTCGACTGTGGAAATTGGATAGCCTTAGTGGGGCTGCAGAATATGAGTTCAGCTGAGTTGTATGATCTTTCAATGGCACATCTCAATCGCCGCTTGATGGTATTTGAGGTGTTATCACCCTTAAAGGGTACAGATATTACAGCGGGCTTTTTCGGAACTGACTCATCCGTCAATTTTGGCCGTAAAATGTCGCTGTACTTTTCGACTAACCGTGTTGATAGCGGTCACTCGGTTGACCCCAAAACATCTTTTAGAATATTAATTCGAGCACGAACAACTCGGTTACTGCGCAATTTGGAGGCAGCCTACATACGGCGGGAGAATCCCAACCTATACAAACAGTTAGACCATGTGGTCAACCTCAGCTTGCCCTGGTAGATCTGCACCCTTTTGATTTGCGAACTTCCTCGGCGTGTTAAATTCCCCGTTTTTTTCCTATGTTGCGTTTTTCAAGTTACCATTTCATTGATTAGTCTACGTGCAGTATAGGATAACCTTGCTATGTTATATTGATTTTCTCTGTGGAAGTTCAAACCTCTGTACCTTTCTCACTTGTTATTTGTGTTGTGCAACGACAGGCTGCAGCTGATAAGCCGTCGCGAAGTCTATTGTTTCCTATAAATTCTGCTGTTCATGCCTGCTTGAAATTAATTCCGGGGAGATATTGCTTCAAAAGGCATTTCGCTCTCTCCGGTTCGCTTATGCAAGCCGGTCTTCTGCACACTGGAGAACCTCGCGTAGGCCCTGCATCTACCATGGCCAAATGTCAGTTAATCTGCTAACTAGATGCAATTTCCCGAATCTTCCCATCTAAGCTAATTACCTACATAGAATGATAGTGGTTATATTTAACTATCCTCTCACGTTTTCCACATCCCACTTGGAAGAAAACTCAAAATTTTTTCGATTCCTCATGGTTTAGTGGACCTGTCGAATATAAATGTACTGACCTGATGGAAATTTATCGAAAGTAGACACCTGCTTGCCAATTAGTCTTCCGCATATGTGTGCTTACTTGTTTCTGTAGTATATTTTAGTCGCAAAAATTCTTCGTCAAAATGATATCCAGTTGAGCAGTTGCATTACGCCCGCCACTTCTATTATTTGGGCTACCGTTCATCTTGTCAATCCGTGTATGTTCATTACTTAAAAAATCATCGATAGAAATTCTACCGTGTCTTTTTATAGATATAGGCTTGGCAGGAACGCTGGGTATCTCTTATTTCGCCACACTGTTGTTCTTAAACGCAAAATTATATCACATGTTTAACTATCTTATTCATGAAACAGAAGGCTGTTGAAAATACGATTGATACAAAAAGGCATACATAAGAGATGTTGCACATTTTACCTCCTAACGATTAAAGAACGCATATCGCAGCTGCGTTGTCTTCCAAAAAACATGTTTTGCCATTACCCTATGTTTGTACCATCAATTATGCATCAGCATTGTTGTTGTCTTACCGTCCGTCGGAGGCACGTCTATGGCCGGAAGATTAGCAAGGAGGGGGGAAGGTTGCAAACTGACTGAGTGCGTGTCTGATGCTAAAACCCTCCCCCCCCCCCCCCCCCCCCCCCCCC